TTGTGAAAGTTGACAGAGTATTTGAATATGAATAAACGGTCATGATTCAACACCCCAACTACATACAAATTCAAACTTGCAGTCACAGTCACCATTAAAATACTTTTTCCCCCCTACTTAATCGCAAGTCCGCAAACCATAAAAATGTTGAGCAAAGATTGCATTAACAAAATGAAAACGACCATACATTAGAGTTGTAAAGGCGCATGTACACCTGAAACTGAGAAACAAAAATTACAGTTATCTACAGTTCTAAATCACACACATTGAGTTTGCTTTGTATGTTTATACTTCTTTTTAGTCTTCATGGCACTCTCAACTTTGGAAATTTTTCCTCATTATATATATATATATATATATAGTAATCTTCATTTTGCACTCTTTTAAGAAAGAACACACCAACGACAATAAATTATCTCGTAGGATGAGGAACTAGATTAAAAAAAAATTAAGAGTTTAAATGTTAACGTTTGTGAATGGAGTAAATTGAATTGAGAATGTCACCCTATCATAGACTTTTATAAAATTCAATTCAAAATAATCTATCAATAAATCAGATATGAATAGTTAAAAAAAATTGACACCACTAAGTCGTGTCTTTTTCCTTCTTCTTTCCAGATGTAGTTTCCATGGCAGGTCAAATTGTTTACTTGTTGCTGTTTTCTTGAGTCAAAGGACATGAATGAATGATGGAAAAGGCCCAACTTTTTTTTATGTATATTTAGTGAGCCTTTAAATGATTGCTTGTGGGACGCAGCAAAAGCATGGCCTTTAGATAATTTTGTTTTGAACATGATCTTATAGTGAATTAATTTTTTATTAGTATGAATAACTATAATATAATATATGTTCAAAAACTTAAATTAATTGACATTCAACATTTATATTCTTATATATATATATATATATGATACTCAAATTTAAAACTTTAAAGAATAATAATAATTATTTAACTATTTTTTGTCTTAATCTAATAGAATATATATATATAATAATAATAATGATGATGATGATCTTGATCCTTTTTGCAGCCTAAATAAATGCATGAGAAACCGGAAAGAAGAAAACTTTTCAGAATTTACTCTAAAAGTCGAGAATAAGGTGTAAATTCTAGACAATATCTATATATATAAAGATTTCTTTCTTTTTGTAAGTAATGGGACCTCCAATAATGTCTTTTTAGAAATAAAATCCAACAAAAGAAAGGAAAAGGAGTTTTTTTTGGTTAAATGGTGTTAACCATGCAGAAATATGCAGAACCTTGAAGCATTTCACTATTCAATTTCACGCCAGCCCCTTCAAAAAATCATTGATTTTATTGATCATTATTTTCAGCTACCATCAATGTTTTCTTTTGTCTATATATATATATATAATCTTTGACCTTTGCAGTCTCTTGTAATATCAATGTTTTTGTATTTGTTGCATCTCCTATGTTGTTTTGAAATTTGTAAACGCATGCTATGTCATGAATTGTTGCATTTGGGTCTAGTTTGTGGAGGATGAATATTCAGGCAATTCGTTGTACTGGGTTGTGACTCGTTTTATTTATTATTTGAATCATTTTATTTTGGTCGATGTTCTCTTTATTTATTATTTGGGTTGGCTCAATTTATCTTGGTGTCGAGTTTTGTTGGGTCGTAGAGGACTCGTTCTGTTTGGTGTTACGGTGGATTGGATAGTTTGAAGTTAATACAATATATATGGCTATGGGAGGTCCTCATATAGCCTTCATATACCGTAGCTCTTTATCTATTACGAATTGTGTACAAATCTTTCTCTAATCGGTAAGACATTATCCGCTTTTAATGCGAGAAGACGGTCTCAGAAGTAGTGGAATTAAGAAGTTGATAATAAAAAGGCAACAAGGTTTGCAGTCCCGAAAACATGATTCATCAAATGTAACAAAAAATGTTGTTGGATTTTTACTATGTTATTCATATTTCTTCAAAATTTTGAATCAAAATCATAGATACAGGGATGACTAATTATTTGATGCCAAAAGATACATACCACTAAACAAGTTATTGGATACTTGAGCAACATAAATAGGGATGGAGGGATTGTTACCAGTAGTCCTTGCAAGAACATAAACCATTCGCAAAATGGTGAAAACGCTTCCGATCCCTGACAATTATTACGCGTTTGTAGATCTCTGAGATTAGTTTTATCGAAGAGTGACAATCCTCGCATACACGGAGGTTCTTGACTATCCGGAGTGGTGTTCCAGGGCTTGTGTTGATTAAGCCGAACGCAATTGCAATCCTTTCACTGTGATAGTATAGCGTGCTTTCTTTTTCTTCCTCGATGTTGAGCAGAGCTCGTGAGGTATCCGGTTTATACCCTACCAACCTCATTTGCTTAGCTATTTCCTGTAGCATTGAATGAATCTCTTTAGCTCTGGGGTGGGACTCATCTTCCACAAGAAACTGATGAACGACTCCATCGAGCTCAATCCAACTGCACCCAGGGTCTTTTCTTACATCCATCTCCTTCATTTTTAACCTCACCCTTGCAACCGACTCCCAATCTCTAGAAGCAGCATATATATTCGACAATGACACGTAAGCTCCACTATCACGAGGAGCTATATTCATCAAAATCTGAGCCGCACGGTCACCCATCTCAATGTTTCCATGCATCTTGCAGGCACCTAACAAGGCCTTCCATATCACATCGTCTGGCTTTATTGGCATGTTTGATATGAACTCTTCAGCCTCTTTAAGTAGCCCAGAACGGCCTAATAGATCAACCATACACCCATAGTGCTCAAGCCTAGGTTCAAAATCAACTCCATTAACAATATGATTGAAAAACAAACGCCCCTCTTCCACTAACCCTGCATGGCTACATGCACTCAAGATGCCAATGTAGACAACATCACTAGGAGTTACCCCCTCACATTTCATCCTCGAAAAATAATCAAGAGCCTCCTTTGCTCTACCATGGATAGCGAGACCCCCGATTATTGCACTCCAGGTAATTGTATTCGGTTTATTTATCTTGTTAAAGACCTGAATTGCCTTCTCAATGCTCCCACACTTGGCATACATATCGACCAATGCAGAGCCAAGTGCATCGTCGATCACGATCTCATTCCTCTCAGCATACAAATGCACCCATTTCCCCAACTCGAGTGCCCCGATTCTTGAAATCGCAGGAAGAACACTCACCAAAGTCACATAATTAGGTCTCACTTCCCCAATTTGCATCAAACGAAACATCTCAATTGCTTCTATAAAGTACCCATTTTGGGCGTACCCAGAGATCATCACATTCCATGAAATCACACTCCTTCTAGACATTTTATCAAACAATTCCCTAGCAGCCGCTAAATCACCAACTCTTACAAACCCATCAATCATCACATTCCATAAAACAATATTACCTTCTATTCTCCTCTTATCCTTCACCAATTTGCAACCATTTTCAAACTCGGCCATCATTTTGTTAAGCAAAAACTGGGCTTTTTTCATGGCTCCACACATAATATACATTCTTACAAGATTGCTGGCAACAAACTCATCTTTTTTCAAACCCAAATTTGACTGCTAACCCACGAACCTGTTCCCCCTCTAGAAGCTTCCCAGTTCTAGCACAGGCCTTTAAAATTGAAGGAAAAGTAAATTTATTGGGCAAAACGGTCCCGTCAGTGAGCATTTCAGTAAACAAAAGCAACGCTTCTAACGGCTCATTCGTTTCATCGTTTTCATCGGATTCTGTTAGAGCTCTGATGATGGTGTTCCAAGAAAAACAGTTAGGCTCGCTCATTTGAAGGAAAACCTTGCGAGCGTAATCGATGTCGCGGTGAGCGGAAAGGGAGCAGAATTTGAGGATTTCGGCTGCGGCTAAAGGGTCGTGGATTTGGCCTGTTTTGAGGAAGAGGGAGTGGACTTGTTGGAGTTCTTTCATTGTTTTGCATCTTGTGATTTGCGGGAAGAGTGATGATGGGTGGGTTGGGGAGGCGGCGCTAGAGTTGAAGATGATCGTTGGGTTCATCCAGGCGGTTCACGGGAGGAGGCTTCTGAAGGTGTGGATGGCATTTCCTTTTGGGTGGTGGAGGGAGGGCCTTCCAAGTATATGGCGGGTTTCGGCTAATACGGTTGTGAGTGTCCGGAGAACCAATGAAAGTGCCACGTGTCGTTTCTTAAAAATTAAAATAAAACAAAGAGATATAATTATGGGTAAACTAAACGTTTAGTATCTTAACTATTACTTTTATTTCGGTTTGGTACCTAAACTTTATTTATTTTTAAATAATATACAACCTTTAGTTTAGGTTTCATTTTGGTACCATAAAGTTAAAAACTTAACAGTGATGTTAACGTGTTATAATAAGATAATGTCACATCATTATTGACAAAAATAAAAGAAAATATCACATCAGTTGTTCTATTAACTTTTTAACGACGAATATCAAATTGAAACATAAACTAAACGTTAGGTATAATTAAAAAAAGTAAAGTTTAGATGTCAAAATGAAACAAAAATAATAGTTTAAGTACTAAACATATAATTCACACTATAATTATTGGCTAAACATACATATAAAAACTTGAGGTTCGGGTTCAGGCAAAGCATATGTAGGGGTATGAACGTTAAAAGGTTGAGAGTTTTTAAATAGATACAACATTGTATTCATACCAATTTATCAAAAAATTTAAAAACTTACTTTTTTATTAATATAAGATAAATTCAAAGTAATATATGTTCAAAGATAACTTTAAACCATTTGATATTGAACGTTTACTCCATTGACATTCATCGAAGCTAAGACTTAAAAAAAATAACAATAATTTTTTTTACCAATAATGTGGTTTGGTTCAGGAAAAAAATTAATTAAGTAAAATTAATTTTTTGCACAAACGACATATATTCTCCGTACTGTTAAACCAAAATATTTGGATACAGGCCACAAACATGTTAAACTTTTGTTGTCACAGGCGCTAGTATTCTGGGCCACGTTTTTCACCTCCACAAACCAAGACCATGCCCGTATCTAAGAAACCCCGAAGATCATAAAAATCGAAATCCCTAATTCCCAAATTAGCCAAAGAAGAAACCCCAGCGTAAGAGTAAACAATGGTGTGCATACGCAAGGCGACCATGGACGACCTACTGGCGATGCAGGCTTGCAACTTGCTTTGCCTTCCCGAGAATTACCAGATGAAGTACTATTTCTACCACATCCTCTCTTGGCCTCAGCTCCTTTACGTCGCCGAGGACTACAACGGCCGCATCGTCGGTTACGTCCTCGCCAAGATGGAGGATGAAACCAACGAGTGCCACGGCCACATCACCTCTCTCGCCGTCCTCCGCACCCACCGCAAGCTTGGCCTCGCCACTAAGCTCATGACCGCTGCGCAAGCTGCTATGGAACAGGTCTTTCCATTTATTTTTATTTTTCTTTTCATTTTTCAATTTTAGTCATTCTTCTGCTCATCTATGGACGGTGGTACTGGATAATTAGTTAGTTATTGGTTTTTGCTTGATTACATTTTGGAAGCGAAAAGCAAAGAATATTTTAGTAGAAGTAGAAGTAGAAGTTAAAATTCCTATCTTTGTTTGACGGAATACTGAATGGTTTTGCTTTCATTGGAGAATGCTTATGTTAGAGTTGCTTTTACTTTTATTGATTCTATATATTTAGTAAGTCTTGAACAGTTTAACTGCAAAATCAATCGACAAGGAAGAAAGAACATTTGTATTCTTCAATACTAATATGCGAAGTGATGCAGGTGTTTGGAGGAGAGTATGTCTCGCTCCATGTGAGAAAGAGTAACAGGGCAGCATTTAATCTGTATACTCAGACGTTGGGTTATAAGATACATGATGTGGAGGCGAAATATTATGCAGATGGGGAGGATGCATATGACATGCGGAAGCAATTGAAAGGTAAGAGTAGTCATCATCACGGCCATCATAATCACCACCACCAACACCATCATGGTGGTGGATGTTGTTCGGGTAATGCGAGGAGCGTAGAAACAGTTCATATGAGAGGAGATTCTAAATCAGAATCAAAAGCTAGCACATAATCTGATTCAAAAGTTGGATGATTACCTGGAGGTAAATTTAAGTATCCGGAGAACTATAACTGGCATTGGCTTATTTTCTCTAGGCTACCATTTTTTGCTCATCGTATTTTCAGTTCATTAAAATAATAATCTGATTGGAGATTTCGAAACTATGTTGGCTTCCTACATGAGATTTGGTATAATTCCAGCTAAACACAATGTTTTCTTTACTTAATGTTTTCTTTACTCTCTCTTTTGCATTGCGTTTTTGTTCCAATTCTGGTAATGTGTCTTCTTTATGTCACTTTCTGCACTCATGGTTTATGATACGTTGACGTCTCAGCTTCCTGCAATCCCTTTGTAATCTATGCTTGTTCAGATCCTTTTTCTAGCAGTTTCCTTTCCATGTTTTCCCTTGCTCATGCAAGATATTAACTTCCCATCATCATGGCCCGAATGAAGTGTTAGTTGGCAATCTGTTATTGTGGATATTTAGTTGGCAATATGCCAATCCTGTTGATTTTATGGTATGGGAGGCTCTTGCAAGTATTGAATATTTAGAGTTCCTAATTCCTATTCCATTAGTATCTTGCAATAATCAACAGTTACAATTGAGGATCTTGGCAGGCGATTGTTTTCTTGAAATTGAAGTGACACGTTATTCACAAGGAATTGTTGCTTGGTCGAAGTAAATAAGTTCTCGACATTTTGATAGAGAGTTCACTACTGGGTACATTGTATTTCTCAAGTCTTATCCTAATTTCTAATGATCGAAGAAACAATGGTATCTCGTTCTTCCACTGAAGTCTAATTTCATGCCATGACTACCACTACTAACATGATTATTTGGATAATAAGACTTCTTGGGGTATCTTGGGGTATCTTGGAGTGACACATAATGTGTCAATTTCTTTGTTTTGTGACAATCTAGCTGAGCGTACAAAACATATAGAAACAGATTGTCATTTTATTTAGAAACTCGTACGGTCCAAAACTATCGCCATACTACCTATTTATTCACAAAATCAGTTAGCTGATATATAAATAAAATATATAATAATCAATTAGTTATCGCCAGTCTTATAGCATATGTAATATTTACATGTCACCTATGTTATAATAACTAAGTAACTTTTTTTAAAATTTAAAAAAAAAGGGAAGTTTATCTGAGACAGACAACAAAACTTGAAGAATAGGCAAAGAAACCTATCTGGTGTGAGCCACAGCCAAGCAGAATTGTCAACTTGCCATGCAAAGCTACTCTAAATATTTAGCCAATGTTGTATGTTAATGTTTATGGATTCAAAAGGAGGACACAAAGCCAAAACTCCCACCATTATTCTGATAACAGAACCACCTTGCAGTTCAACAGAGTGTGTGAATGGCTGCAACTTGTTAAGATTTTTGCGTTATTGTATCAAATCACCTTCATCATATCATTCAAAACAAAGAGTTAGACTATGTGGTGTAAGTGAAACTTTTTAACTCAAGTGCTAATAAAACATCTTCGATCTTCATTCCGATTCACATCGGCTCATAATGCCTGTCAAAATGTCAGCAGAGAATACTTGGTTTAAATTCGTGATATTTTCCTATATATATACGGGTGAACAAAACTCTATTTCACGTTAAAAATTTCAATTCGACTTGATTTGATTTAAAAAGAATTTTAATTTGAGTCGAGTTATAAAATAGAATTTGAATGACTCAATTTTTATTATTATTAGTGATTGATTTTCAAGTTTGAGTTAAGTCATTCAACTCTGCATGATATATGTGTATTGTATTACATATGAAAAAATATGCATGTATATCGTATATGATTTTCAAATAGTACCATAATATTATAAATATTTACCATTAAATTTAAACATAAACTCGAATTTCATAAACTTAACTTAAAAAAATTGTAAATAAAGTTTGGGTTTTAAAATAGGACTCGTCAACTCGAGTAACTAATTTTTTTTAACTCGACTCAACGCAAATCAAAAACCTTCGCGTAATGATATGAAACTAGAAAGTAACGGATCTACCTGATGAGTGATTTTCAATACTCTCACATCCCATTCTTGTACTTGACTGGGCCATTGCTCGACTCTGTCAGAGGTGTAATTCATTAATCAGTATGTGTCTCGATCAAATTAATAGATATGGCATACTAAACATCACCTGTGAATGGGGAATTTGCATCTGGCGAAGACCAATATATTGCTGGTAAGGGTCAGCAACATTTGGGGGCCCTTTTTGGTTTATGTTTTGCATGCCAAGCGGGTTCAGCATGGGGTCTGACTGATTGCCTGATTGGGGTTTTGATGGATCAGGAGCTGGAATTTGTGGTCGCATATGAAAGGCTGGCATAGGAAACCTTGGACCCAAATGTGCTGCAGCTGCTGGTGTTGGTAATGCCGTGCCGGCCAACACATTGGTATATGGCATCATTGGCCTAACTATTCCCATATCCATCCCCATGCCCATTCCAATTCCCATTGGTGGAATGTACTGCTGAGCACCAGGATACATCATTGGGACCATGCCACAACCCATGGACATAATCTGCAGAAAATTAAGACTCTCATAAATAGTGCACAGGATCGTTATGCACATTATTGCTTGATAAACAAATGCCACAAGTTTTTTTTCCAGAGATTTTCTTTTATTCTCTCAACTCATTTGAGTTATTAAGCGTACAAGCACATCGAGGGACACTGACAATACTGCAAACCAATCACTGATGCAGAAATGCTGCAAAAATCAGTAATGTTAGCTTGTAGAACTCAAGAAAGTAGAAGATCGAGGAAAAAGCTATCTAGTGTTGATTGATGATTAAGGGTTTTCTAGTGCTGTAGTATTAACCCACGATCCTCTCGAGTGACAAAAACATGTATTAAAAGCTACTATATTGTCTGGGATTAAGAACAAACCGTTTTGGCAATATTATGTGATCCAAAAATATTTTTGTGGGTACATAGGTATTATTCACATAAAATTTTTGTATACGGGTGGGTGCAGGGTAAGCATAATCAGTAAAATAAGCAACTAACAGAAATAATTTGAATTTTGGTGCACAAGGTGGATCCGCCGCCGAGTAAAGACATACCTGAATTTGCAACTGAAGTGACTTCAAGTACTCAATTGCTTCATCCAGCATTGAAGCTTTATCTGACTGAGATTCAGAAATATACAATATGTTAATAAAAGCAGAGAGAGAAATATCCAAATTAAATCAGTAATAACAAGTCCTCAATAGTTATTGACCTTGTTGCAGCGAGGTATGAGTTCTTGCAAAGCCCTCATCTTTTCATTTATGCGATCTCTGCGTCTCTGCACACATATAACATGTAATTATACCCGGAAGAAGAATAAGAACAAATTCATCAACGCAACTATAGTAAACGTCAATAATAAGATACTGACCCTCTCGGAGAGGTTATGGACCTCCGCAGCACGGGACCTTTTTGTAGATGTGGATCCACGATTTTGATTCTTTGTGTCTTCGGATTCAAACTCAGCATCCTTTGGCAACAATAAAATCTCGGAATAACGATTATTGAATTTTTATACAAATAAAAGATATGTAACGAAAATAATTATATATATTGAAGTATGTCTTTTTCTCCTAATCATCTTACTCTTTTCCCTCTGTATCAGTAGTCTAATCATAATTAACTTTCAATTAACCATCTACATAAAAAAAATAAAGATTTATCTTTAGAGTAATAATAAAATAGAAAATATAAAAAATTAATAAAACCAACTGACATCAATTAGGTGTAACTGTAAGTGTATAACGCTCCATCCATAAAATATTCATATTTCAAAACCCCTAACTTTTAAATTTTAAAACCCACACTCTGTTACTCCCACTTGTCACTGCCAACCTCCTTCCTCCTCCAATCATTAAAGTCGTGTCGACCTCTCAATTATGTCGTACACGTGGCATTTGTCAAATCGATGAACATTACACGTTCCCAAATAATGCACGTGGCAAGTGTCCAGTGGTGGTGACAAAGAGCGACGGGTGCTCATGTTAAATGGCGTGTTACCCAAGACGCACGTTAGCCGAGACAAATAAGATAACAAAAATGGGTTTAGAATAACCTTGCTGTGACATTCGCTGTAGTCCAGCTCCCTTCCTTTACGCTTCCGGTCCTCAGCCTTGGCTGTATTTTGAGCAGCCGGTTCAGCGCTACCACTAGATCGGCCAGGTGATGATGCCACAGTGAACTCGAACGTGCCTAAACTGTCTTTGTTGGCACCCAAGCTGACGTCAGCTGATTGCTTGCGTGGTACTCCAGCGGTGCTCTTGTTTGCGTGTGCATTGTTGTTGTTGTTCCCGCCAGATGTCGCCGCCTCAGTGTAGCTCGGCCTAGCCTGATAGGCTCCCGATTCAGAAGCCATAGCTGGTGTATGGCTCGAATCAAGGACCGTCGATTCTCTCATCACACTCTTCAATTTCGACGGTCTAGATTGCTCCGTCCTCGCCGATATATGCCTTGAGAAGTGAGCGAAGTTGTGGATCCTAGCCGAATTTAACCATTCCTTCTAGCCGGCGGTATTGGAGGCTTAGGAGTTGATTCCGAAGCCGAAGCTGGAACCGAAACTTGAGAAACTCTTCCGACTATAGGAGGAGCGGATGTTGTGACAGTAGAGCTAACGCAAGGGGTGACGGCGGCGACGAGGGAAGAGGAGGAAGGATAGAGGAGATCACCGCTGAAATCGTGCTCGAAGTTAGCGTCGCTGATAGGATAGCGAAGCCATGAAGAGAGTTCATCTTCTTGCATGAAGAGATGATCGGTAACCGAGTGGTGTTGTTCCCGATGATGAAGCTTTTGAAATGATGATCGGATCACTCCTGGAGCTGAACGGTCGGCGTCGGGAAATTTGAACGGCGGTGATTTCTTGAGAGTTTGTTGATTTAGGGACTGCATAACGACGTGTCCGTTTTGCCACAACAGCTCCGTAAGTTCATCCTCACGTCTGTTTTGAAATTCGTCAATTTATCAATTCACGATTTCGATAATATATGAAGAAACTAAAAGAGGTTACCTGGAATGCTTTTCCATAGGAGTTAAACTAGAAGATGAAAGGATTGAGTAATCGCCCTCCATTTCAAAATCAGGAACGCAGTGATTCATGTTCATCCTATATAAAACAACCACCAAATCTAATAAATCAAAGATATATATGGAAAAATTAAAAATTAAAAAAAAAAACTCACCTGATTCAACTATTTAAGCAAAGTAAATTAGAGATTTTTTTTGGTTCTGTGGAAAGTAATTGGAAAGGGAGAAAGGCAGAAAAGGCGGTGTTATCTTGGTTGATGTGCGCACTTCAGCCGCAGTACATGCTTCCGCTGCCGCTGGTTATGAAATTGATGCTGAAAAAACTCGATACAAAAAGGACAATACAATTGAAAAAAGAAAATCTAAATCCATGTGTCGCCTTCAGCTAACTCTCTACTCTCTTTTTTTTGTATTATATATCTCACGTAGCAACTTTTTAAAAACGAAAATTTTATTTTATTTTATTTTGAGAAGATTTTGGTGTGAGGTTTAGTTTTTTTAGACAATAAAAAGATATGGTGTTCTCTTATACTTCTCGTTTTTTTCTGACAGAATGCAAACCCGACGCTTTCTTTCTTGTTATACAGATTGAATTATAATAATGTTTCTAATTTACATATGTTTTTTAACAAAATGCTTCACATACCATTAAGCTGGCTCACCACTTCACTCTTCGGTTATCGTTATTAATCTTTGTCTTCTTCATCTATTCCCAACACCATGGCCGCCTTCTCACATTTTGAACATAAGATTGTTTATGAATTCTGGGTTTTTGTTTTTCAACCCAAAACTTGAATGAGTTTTTTTTTCTTCTTTCATTTTTATGGCCATTAACATGGGAAATGTGGCTCCAAAAAAGGAATTAACAATCAAAATGAGATTTTGAGGATTCAATTGATATAATATTAGAATATTATAGAGTAGAATTAAGATTAAATTAAAATAAAGAATAATACTTGAGAGTTAAATTTGTTACTATGTCAATTTTCTTAACACATTATTAACAGTACTTAACACTTCAATGTGTTACGTTTTTGTTCTTTAATAAAAACAAATCCATGTTTTTTTTAGAATTTAAATTTGTAAAATTATAATTTATACAATTAAATACGACATAAAACTAAAATATAATTATACAGAGCCGGTCTTAATGAATTTAAATTTATTGTAATTATACAATGTAATTAATGTAAAAATATGGAATTCAAAGAGATCATATAAGAAATAATACTCTATGAACATCCTCAAAGTGTCATTGAATTGGTGGTTCCAGCAGAGAAAACACTATAAGGAAGCAGCTACGGATCATCGTCGTAAGGTACGTTCAAGGCTACCGATGATGGAAGAATCAATATCGGCCTTCCGTTATGTTGAAATTCAGCAAGCATGGCATCATGAGAGGGCCTATAGTCCCAAAGATTACCAGTCAAGTCCACTTTCTCTAGATGACCTACACAACAACAGACCTATTCTTTATTTGACATCTAAAACTCTTTCATTCATGTAATGTGAAAAAGATCTGAATGTCATTAGGAAAAATATGTTTAACTTTTCGGATTCCGAGCCCCGTCAGATGCTAGTCTCTGCATCATCTAAAATTTGAGATCTAACATGTATGGTTGCAACTCGGTGAGTGTGCACATGCAAGCAACATGTTGCGTACGCAAAAAAAGAAACGATATTACCTGGTAATGCTGACACTATACGGGAAATCGATGATAAAAATTGTTCAAGTACCTTTGGAGATTTTCAGTGCAGAGCATATTAACGGCAAGGATTCTTCAGGCATAAGATTATATGCCGCATTGACTGCAACCAGTTTAGGAGCATGAACAATAAGCTTTGACAAAAACTTTGCAGTTTCAATCCCACCGCGATTTTTGCTGCATAGCAAAGGCATAAACATGCTAGCTGATTTATTGTCAGGCGGCATTTGAAAAACAGAAAACAAACTGAAGCATAGATATAAACCTTATGTTAATTTCAACAAGCTTCACGTTCTCCGTTATTATATCTTCTAGTTTCTGAAATCCTGATGGACCAAGTCCTATACCTTCGAGATTCAGTATTTGGATAGATGTACCCCAAAACTTCCCCAAAGCTTCTGCTACTTGGCTGGATTGCATAAATTAGAAGCTCAATCCTTCAAGTAAGAAAGATAGACAATAAAGGGTAACTTCTATGCCAGCATAGTCCAGACATACCTGCCAAGCACATTATGAGCAAGAGAGAGATAATTCAATGGTTTTGCTAAGGTCGATAAGGCATCCAGAAGTTGAGCCAGTCCATCACAGGAAAGCTCACAATTCTCCAGATTCAAATCAGTCAAGGGAGAGCAGCTTTTAGATGCTTCGGCAAAATAAGGGATTAAACTTCTGCAAAATTTGAATACAGGCGGTAAGATATCATATCCAAGGTTTTTTTATAATATTGCAAGACATATACTTTTCTGACCTGACGCCATCATCCTCCATTGGGTTGTCACTAAGATCCAAAATCTCCAAGCTCGGCATTTGAACCAGGGCATATCTTAGATTACCAGCATCATCTTTCTGTAGATTACTACCCCTAAAAAGAAATTTCTATCTTTATGGTGCAAGAAATACATTTTCAAGGTTATAGAGGATTCCTACAACACGGCAAAGCATAAGCTGACATGGTCTGTCAGTCAACAACCTCAAAACCCTCGCTGGTCAATTTAGTACCAGTAGTCATGACTTAATGAATGATACCTTACAAGAAGAATAATTACATACCCAAGATTGAGGATGCGTAATGACTGCAAAGATTTGGTCACTCCTGATCTCCAGTTGAAATTAGAAAGCCATCCAGCTATCTGTGGGATAAAGGATAAATGTTAAAGTTGGCTAACCGAAGATATTTTGATAAATGTTGAAAGAAAATTTTAAACCAAGTGCATCGCTCTACATTGTTTCCTGAAAGGTCAAGGCTTGTTAGACTGGATGAAGCATCCAGTATAGTACTGAAAATTCTTCTGGCAAAAATACAATCCAGGTGGTTGTCACGTAGCTTCAATGACCGCAAGGACCTATGAACAAAACAAATCATATGCATGCATATGTGTGCAACAGGATTAATCATTGGATAAAGAATGTGGCAACCAACTTTAGACATGACACGTCTAAATAAATAAAGAAAACTTGCATAACATGACTCATCAGCCTAAATCAATGCAAAAACTTGCAATATTTCAAAAAATGCATGTCACGTCTTATGACAGAAACATGGGCTCAAGTACTTGAAGAAATCATATGCAAACATTCCATCTTTATGTTGAATACCATAAAATTTGTCCATTTTCATTAAAGTGCAAATATGTCATATATTGGCCATATAAAAGTTCCCCCCCCCCCTTCAATGACAGATTCCCACGTTACATCAGCAGATGCAGTGGTGCTCACAGATTGCCAAATTTCTATCACTAGTACTATTATTCTTAATTTAAGTACCAGGAAGTGACAATGCATGCAACCTTAATGGAGTGGCATTTTGAGGAGAAACTTCTCTTAACTTAGTTCCTTTAATGTTTGTCAGGCAAATTCATGAGTGTCATTGCCAAACACCTAACCAATCAACAAGATAAATAAACTCAAAATTCACCAAGAGTGAAGCATAAATGAAAACAGATATACCTTCCCGATAATAGAAACGATGCAAGGCTATGAGCTAGAGAAACTGGATCCATTTCATGAAAGCTTGAAGAGCTAATGGAGAAGTGCTGTATTTGGTGAGTTTCTGCACCACTCATGTACAAGGAACCACAAATTGCATCCATAAAGCTGGAAGTGATCTTGCAGTGTACAAATTCAAGTGATGTCAATGTTCTAGAATTCTGATTGAGAAGTTTGCATAATCCATCAACCTGCAAAAGTAGGAAGTGATATCAATTAAACAATCCAAAGTGAGGAGACACTTGATACATAAGCATACTGATTTCTATAAAATTCTTAAAACGCTATTCAAAAATGAAGATTTGACAATATTGAAGACACGAAATAGCATGTTCATGATTATGAAAATAGATTAAATACTTTAAACTATTGGATAAAGAAAAGCAATTAAGAGGAAAAAAGACGTTCGATGAAGAATTTCCCAGTGCAGTATAATTAAATCAGACTGCATGACACATTGAACAACAAGTCTTGGAGGTTATTATATTTGCCTCAATGACACTATTCCAGAAATGATACTGACTTCAATAGATATCGATTACCGATAACATTTGAAGTTATGATTCATATCTAATTTCATCTTTAAATATATGCAGATTACATTACAATCAACTCATTCTTTTCTATCTTTAATTTTCTTGAAAACTCCATTTCTTCTTGGTTAACCTACAAAGGATAGTAACTTCAATCACATGCCCAAAAAATATTCAATCCAATGAAAATCAAAGGTCAACATTCCAATATCAACATCTTGAATTGATTCCAAGTTTCAGATTCAGCCGTGTAGTAGTAGACAGTAGTCTCATTCGTTTAGGAGTCTTTTATGATAAGAGAGATAGCAATCTTTGTAATCTCTATCTCTAGATAGATTTTTATCTTAAGCAGAAAAGTCGTATTAGAAGTCAGCTACTCAGTTTATTTAAACTATTGTAATATCCTTATTTAATAATCAGAATTGTCTTGCATTAACTCTTTTATTCTCTCCTCCTTCGATTTATTCTTCTTAGATTGTAACACAAAGACCCAAAACAGATAGCCCCCTTTGCTTATTTAGTATAAGATTTGAAGCATGATGATTAGAATTAATATCATATGCCCTAGTAAAGCTTGTGTATCAATTCAATCATTACACAAATCAACATATTGAATTGACTGAAAGACCCAAAACAGATAGTCCTCTGCTTATTAATATAATATTTGGGAGCATGAAGATTAGAAGAACTATCAAATGCCCTCGTAAAGCTTGTGTTAAAGCTCAATCATTACACAAAAGAACACATGATGGGTTGTTGATGTAGACAAACAGCAGAATATCAAGAAAATAAAATGACAATTCCAAGAAGATCTGCGATTAGGGAGTTTATTTGAATATTGGACTAATGGACAATTCCAAGGATCTTTCAATTAATGAGGAACAATTTCATAAAAACTTCAGCAGCTGTAATACATTCACTTATACAGCCCGACTAATCCTGATTAAAGCAACCATCCATAATCAATAGTACTGTTAATTCACTTTTCATTGATAATGCTCTCATGGCCATTAACATTCAAGAAAATGAGTATTGGTTTAGTCAATAACTTAATTACCAACTATTTACTGACATTCATGCACAAAACAAATTAGACTTACATGTTCCATGGATCTGATGCACCGTACTACCACACTTTGCAAGTTGGAGTTCCTCAAAAGTCGCTGCAACAATATTCCATCAGCTAGTAAACATTACCGTGCTAGGATCTATGAGTATATTGTTGAAAGAAAAAGAAATGACTACTAGAGTTAGAAAAACAGAGAGAAAACTTCTAACGTATGAAACCGTACACATTACTACTCTCTTTCTCTTTCAGATACAGACATTAATGCATACAAACACTTGTTAAATAGTGTTAGATATCAGAAAACAATGAGAAAGAAGAGTAAAGGAATTATATTGCATTTCACGTGTTTACACTCAAGGTCACTATTCCTTATATATTGCAATAGTCACTACATACTCATGACTAACAGAACATAAACAACCCTAACAAATCTTGACAGCTCACTAACAAACCTTTGGCTTTGCACACATCTCACGCAACCATTATTTGCTGACTCATATTATAACAAAGAGAGATTATATGGTTAATATAACTTAATACAATTATTTATTGTAAAAGCAGTCCCTAACACAAAGTTTCAATGTTACCAGCTTACTGAATGTTTACCAAACTGTAATTTTGTAAGAAGCTTTACACCTCCCATTAGTATAGGTGAAAGCCAAACACATAACATTTGTCAAACAGAGAGAAAACTAGCGGTATTCTTCACTTATCCAGAGAGAGAAAGAGAGAGAGATAGCATAACTTTATTAAATTACAAACTTACACAAGATTCTAGAACACAGTGCACATTTTGAAGTCTCAAACGTCTGCGCAAATAAAATTAGACAAAAGAAAAAAAAAATTGCAAGAGTCATGATATTGGAAATGAAAAAGAAATTGAACCAAAATTAGCATTTTATTTTGGTTGGAGAAGGGAGCAGTGGATAAAATAGGTAATCTAAAAAAATAGTTTGCATGAATGATACACAGGAAAACAAAGAGCGAACAAAATGTAGGATGAAACACACATATTAGTTAAATCAGGATGTGCTAAGGTAAAAAAGATTGTTCAACTCATAAACGTAATTTAATTGCATTCCCCCTTGCCAAAAGGAACATGAGCATGTACTCTACCCATATTCAGATGTTGCATTAGAGGTTACCTAACATAACACCCAAATTGCTGGCAATGGTAAGACAATTTCAAGTAATCTGAAGTTAAGTTACTCATATCGTCCGCATAACCAATATGTTGCAGTATACTCTCTGCAGCCACACACAAAAGAAAAGAGAAAGAGATAAGGGGAACAACAATCTTTTACAATATGGGTAAGATAATTCAAAGGGTAAAGGAGGAACCAAAAAATAGAAAAGTCTCAACTAAGTTAAAAAGAAAAAAAATACTTGCTCCATTTATGGTGATAAAGACAAGTAACAAAGACAAATTTGAAGGGGGGGGGGGGGAGCTCATGGATTAAGTTAGTTTCAAGAATATGTAATGAACTAAGTTGAGATGCACAACCTAATTATAAACTTTCCAACAGATTTTCTTAGCACTGTTATTAAGTTGATATGTATCAACATTGCCACTCATACCATGTTCAAGGCACACATATTCAAGCATCTCAACACTATAAACAAAATTCTTGCTCTTTATATGGCTATTTCATCACTTATCCCTTCTTTCTTAAGGTGACTAGCTGGCAAAGCAAACCGGTAAAATCTACCATCAAAAAGAAAATGTTTTACATGTAAGCTAACATGTATGTAAAGAGACTAGCAAGCGGAAGAAAAGCATATACAAATCCATATGAATTCACCAGAACCTTCAAAATCATGTAGATTACAGAAGCTAAGTATTGAATTACCTAATATTTGTATCTCGCCAAGGCATCCACTAAATGATGGGAGCAAAGCTACCTCTGCTGCTTCATCTAGGCAACTGTATTTCAGTTTAATAATGATAAAAAGGATAGATCATAAACAGAATTAAAAAATAGGCCACTAAATAATAAGAATTGGGTTGTTAATTAGAACAACATACTCCTGCACATGATATTCCCAGTAAATTTGCTGCCAATCAAGTGGTTGGACACGCTCCACGTGATCAGGCCAACGGGACTTAAACAATGCCTTCCATGCTGTATCGAAATTCCCATTTCTGTAAGAACCTACCATTATACAGTTATCTCACGGTTGTACTCTTATGTTCTGTATAAAGCAAAAAACAAGGGATGTAGAAATATTAAATCTAACATACCTTCCACGTTTTTTCCCTATTTTTAAGTCACCACTAGAAAGATCATAGTCATCATAGTTCTTAAATGGCCTGCTCAAAGAAAGTAAATACCTTTCGAGAGTAATTAAGCATGAAGAAGCGACTAAACAAAAGTTAAACAAGCATAGTCTTTGAAGAAAAAAGATTATTGCAACCTTAAGTAAAATCTTTCAAAATCATGCTCATTTCTTAGAATATTCAGGCAATAGATCTAGTAAAAAAATTCTCTGAAAGCTTTCCCTTCCTAAGTAAAAAATATCACATTTAGTTCACCCATAACCATTTCAAACTTCAGCTGGAGCCAAGGATAACCAGAATTGTTCAGCTAGAACAGTTATACATTTGAAAAACATAAATTTAACTAACATTTCACTTTGCAACTTCTGCAAGGCCAAAGGAGGTAGACATTCTACTAAAGAATTGAACAATTCAGGAGGAAGTTCATAGACATGCGGCAAAAGATCATCCCCTGCAAACAACCAGACCAGTGATTAACTTCAACAACTGGGAACTGGAAACATCAAATTAAAAGGGAAAAGACGTCATCACTCAGCAACTTGGCATTTCTCATATAATGTAAACAGTATGCACTACAAAAGGGAGAAAAAAAAGGGGAAATTTACCACGAAGAAAATCTCTTTTAACAGCGTCAATGCTCAGAGACACCAAAGAGGGAACATCCACCATCCTCCACTCTTTATACGTTAAAAACAAAAACAAAAGAAAACTACAGAAGTGGCCCGAGCAAGAAAGTTGAGTTGCTTTAACACACAAAACATTCAGTTCCGGAGCTCTGAGCGAATCAATCGCATCGTATGTTTCAAAGGGTGAAGAAATTTTGATAGGGTTCTCTTCTTGTATGTTTCGGACCTTTTTGTTTTCTGGTCAAACCCTGATTAATGATAGTCATTAGGCCCAATGTTTCATGCTGTAAGGCACCATATCGATCTGTGTGGATAGAAACTCAACAAAACATATATTGAATAAAGGGTAAATAACACATTTAGTCATTAAATTGTTATCGTGTTTCTAATTTAGTTTGATGAAATTATGGTTGATATATAATTTTTTAAAAAATTATATTGATTTAATTTAATATAAACATAAAATTAGTTAAATGATTTTGATAAAAGATATTCTGGAGGAATTATGCAAATATTCCAGGAGTCTAGTATCCAAAAAACACAAATTTACTTCTTGAAAAATGTTCATAATAATAATAATGTTGAATTGTTGGGAATTTACTAACCTTGGTGTTGCCAAGACAAGCTGCTCTGTAATATATTTTTAAAAAATATTAAATTAATTTAAAATTATATATTTTTAAGAAAATCACTCCCTTTCATCTTATTTTTCTCTTGGTTGGTGCATAACTGCTGTCTTCATTTATAATTTCATAAAAAAAAATGAAAGACAAAATAGGCCAGTCGAAAGCATCATCATCATAAGACTAACAACGGGTTGATTCACTAAACCTGCATCAAGAAAAGTATTTAACAGTGGAAAGCATGCTATAAACAAAGTCAGGTCAATATGCTCATACTATGAAATCGATCAGTACCGTAATGTACTTTCGAGGCTACCGAAAGAATCAATACAAGCTTTCCATTTTGTTGAAATTCAGTAAGCATGGCATCATGAGAGAGCTGACGAACCCAAAGGTTCCCCTCAAGTCCATTTCCTCTAGAGGTTACCTTTTTATCATCTATATTTCTTATTTGAAAAGGATTGAGTTTAGGATTGATGCAATTTAGCCAAGTGGCAGAAGCTTTGGGGAAGTTTTGGGATTCAAGTACTGAATCCCAATTATTTTAAAAGGCTTAACTTTAGTTATATCTTTAACCAGCATTTGCCTGAAAAGAGGCCAACTCTCTCTGCTTTTTCATTAGCAAGCAAACAACAAAACCCAGCCCACTGCATATCCGATAAAGAACAAACTGAAACAATAAGCAAAGAACACATTTTTTTTTTCTTTAATCGAATATCGCTGCTGAAAATTGGAGACAAGACAAAGAAGAAATTCAATGGCCGTTGCATCCCATCTGGCGAAACTGAACTTTGTTCCTCTAAACCGTCCTGGGTCTTTCTCTCAGCTTCCACGCAACAAATTTCTTCATATTCAAAGAAAAAAAGCCTCGGCATCGATCAGCTGGAGCTTGCTCGACAATGGCTCAAGGAAGCAAAGCAAACCCATTTCGATTCGAGGCATGGCTTCCTCTTCTGGTTCCGACCTGGAGGAGAGTGTTAAGAAGACCGTGGCTGATAACCCAGTTGTTGTTTACTCCAAGAGTTGGTGCCCGTGGGTGCAAATCTCATAATTCTCCAAATTTTCATGTTTTTTTTAAATACTAAAAGTATTTTTTGTGATTTGTTACACCAATTTTTAAGGTATTCTTCCGAGGTGAAATCTTTGTTCAAGAAACTTGGTGTGCAGCCTTCGGTTATTGAATTGGATGAATTGGGTTAGTGTTTTCTTCCAACTTTAATTGTTCATTATTGCCTAATGTTTTAGTCATTATTTGCCGTTTTAATTATTATGGTTCATATTGATTTTCCCCCTTATAGTTTAATTGGTGATGATAAACAGTCGTTTTGAGTTATTGCTGAATTTTTGCATATAGTTTGGATTGAAATATGTTGTCTTGATGGTGTTGATTCAATGAAAATGGTTGAATGATTGACTTGTTTCGAACCTTGTAATTGGTGCCGTCTTGCTTCTGCCTAGTGAACTCTTACTATTAGCAGAGAGCCGGAGACTCCATTTCTGATTTTTGGCCCTGTTTGAGTTGATTGTTTCGTAGCCTCTATCGTGATATCAAATACAATGAGGTCCCAATCTTTCAAGTTTAAAAAATATCAACTACAAAATTTTTGTATGCAAACAAGTAAGAAAATGGAGATTTGAGGGAGGTTAGTTCACCCTTTAGGTGAAGTAAAATTGAAATTTAAGGGCAACTTGTGGATATTCAGTAGCTTCTGAGCAAAAACCCTTCGAAATAGTGGCAGCCTAGGATCCATAGCATTTTTTGGCGTTTTATGATAACCTCGAAAAATTTAATCAATTGATCATTGTAATACTTGTTTAAGTTCTAGTACTTTGAAATCACAACAATTAAATCTGTCCCATGCTAATATAAATTACCATATATCACCAATCGCTATATGCTGTCTTCTAACTGGAAAAATGGTATGGTCAAGCAGGAAATAAGTTCAAAACATTTTCTTGTCAAGAGCATAAGAGAATCCGGGTTGTTTTTAATGCTATCTTTCTCCAAAATAGAAGTCGAGTATGGGATTTCATTTATAGATGCCGAGTATGAAATGTCATAACTCAAATTGGGCCTTGCAGTCTTTTCATCTTAATATTATTATCCTTGCATATATTAAAGAGTGTTATCTTTTTCAGGTGCCCAAGGATCTCAGCTGCAGGATGTACTGGGACAGCTTACTGGGCAACGTACCGTCCCTAATGTTTTTATTGGTAAGTTTTTTGTTTTTCCAGTATTAGCAATTACCTAAAAGATTTGGAAATAAAATGACAGCAAAATAGTCTGAATGGCTTAATGGTTCATTGCTTTTATCTTTGGTATTTTACTGTCTTTATGAATAATGACATATAACTCTGTGATATTTGATTTGTGTTTACAATCAGAAGATAAATTGACTATAATCTAACTAGAAAAGCAATATGAACAGTTGGTACCTAATTGCATTGGACTTGCAAGCTTTCTCGTTCAAATACTGGGAACTTGCATAAGAAGTGCAGAATTAATGTTCATCTTCTTCTCTTTTCCTTCATTTTTTTTCTTCGCCTTCCCCCTTAAACAAAAATGAAAAGAACATACTTTTAAGTTCTAACCTACACCTCTCCTTGTGAGGAGATGACTGCCTCTAGTTTTATGTTGATTTGGCGATTTTACTCGGAGAAGCATAATATCATATTATTGCTCCTTAGCTCTAATGGCAGTTCAAAGTTTTCAATGAATATGGCAGAGGTAAAAAACATGACACTTAGCTTACATGTTGATGGCGTATTTCATTTTTAAAAGTTATATACATATGAAAAGAACAGCCTTTTTATGATTGTGATGCTCAAATGAATATGATACTTACACCATACAACTATAACTTAAATTATAATTTGACAAATAGTGCAGTTCCTTTTATGCCTTATTTTGCCTTCTATCTGTTTTCTATTTTGTCTGCCTAAAATATTCTTACTTCTTAGTTATAATAATGATAACTAACACTCTAATTTCTATCTGCTTCGTGCAGGGGGTAAACATGTCGGTGGTTGTACAGGTATTAATGCATTTCCATCTCTTGAACAATTCTTTCATTAAGATGAGACTTACCTGCCTCTTTCACTAACCTCGAAATGGATTATTAACTGCTAAAACGAATCTGCATAATTGAGTTTCTCAAATAACACAACATTCTGGAAAACTATCCGGATTTTGTAATTCTTTCATCTTGTACTTCTCCATACATCGATTCATTGGGTTTTGACTGCTAGTAATTCCCTATCACTTGCAGAATCCAAGTGAGTACACTTTAATTGTTATTCTCTGTTTGTATTCGGATGCAGATACTTTCGAACTATACCAAAATGGAGAACTGGAATCTTTGCTGTCAGACGCTAATGCTAAAAGTAAGGAAAAATAGTTCATTTGGCTTGACATAACTTTGGATCCTATTGAAAGGCACTCCGGTTCTTGCCTCCGTAAACAGAAATGTTTCATTGGATTACATTTATTTATGTTTCTATATCTCTCCATTCCAATTGTATGTTGAAACCATGAAAGTACTGCATGTAAACCTTGTTTTGTAATATGAAACCTGTAGGATGTAGCAATTCATGAGCTTCTGGAAAAAGAAATGAATGTGATGATGATGTATTCTATTTTCTTTTCTTTTTTAAGAATATGTAGGGTTGCATTCTAATGGCTTTAGAAATTCAAATGAATGAAATATGTTCCAAAACTGCTTTCGAATGCTGGTCTACAAAAACAGGGGATTGATATATATGTATAACATTTTCACTCCAAAATTTCTGTGTTTGTTATAGCTATAGACGTGGATTCTCTACTCCACACCACAATAAAGCTCCTATATATCATTTCCGTCCTGTTACCACTCATGTGAGTCCCGAGATCCACTTGATCTCTACTATATTAGTCCGTAATCTCATTCATATAATATATTTATAGGTATCAATTAAATAAGTGTCTTTTGAATTATCATTACCGGATTGATATTATCCAACCATTACTATTTTAAAAAATAATAAGTCATTGTCACGATCTTTTAATTGATAAATTAAAATATAATTTTAACACGAGTTTAAAATAATTCGGAGATTAAAGTTGTTAATAATATTCAAATATAAACAACGATGTAGGACGAGTGAAGATGATGTAAGATGGATGAAAATGAGATGAGTGCAAGATCATATTCACTCATGTCCCATCACTAACGTTGGATTTAAGTTTTGTCAAGGGTTATGATCAAGTTTTCCGAGTTCATTGAAGAGATCGAGTTGATTGATTTACCTATGATCAGAAAGCAATTTACTTGGTTTCTTGATCTCGAATAGTTGGGTGTTGCTCTTTGCTAAAGTGATGTAGGCTTTGTCTAGCCTTGTATTGTTCTCTAAATCGATTGTTTTGTAAAGAGTTCCCGTTCCCAACATGTATATGGAATCTATGAACAGTTTAGCCATCACATCTGAATTTGTAGCTTCTCTCCACTTTTGTTTTTGTCTGAAACTTTTGAAATTCTCCTGCTTGATACATCTCAATCAAGCTAGAAACACAACATATTATGATGTCTCGATAAGCCTGTCAAGTCAGTTTCTAATTGGAACATATCTAGCTAGACAGGCTGCATTAAAAGGTCTGAGTTCCACTATCATTGTACCCAGAAAACTGTATTTACATTTGGAGTAACTCATCATGGAAGTAAAATTTTTGCCTGTTTTTTGTCCTTATCTCATTCCCCTGGATGTAGGATAAAAACGGGTGGGCTATTTGACAACTTGGCTTTTTCAATCTTGGTCCGTTTGTTCCCTAGTTTTTTCAATCCGACATTAATCATAAAACACTAGTTCTCGTTGTGTTTTCTCGTAAGCCGATCATATAATTTCCCGGATTATCGGTTTTTGATCTTTCGAACTCAACCGAGCTGGAGGCTCTCGTCGTGATCGCAGTCACCTTTCACTAGAATGTATGCTGAGAAATCAGTATAGGAAAGAGTTGCCTGTTAAGATCACACTAGTACAAGAATTGTTCAACTGGGAAGGCACATATGAGCAAATCCTGTAGTACTTTTCCCTGTAAGAAACATTTGAATTTAACTCCAAATCCATTCAATTATTAGAAAAAACAGGTCAAGCTGTAAAGGTATTGAATCATATACTAGATTCTATACAAACTCTTATTTCTCCCTTGTAAACTGCATGTTCTATGCTATGTCCATTGCTCGGTTTAGGTCCACGCCGCCGGAGTCTGTAGTGGACAAGATGAAGATTATTGGGGTCCGTTGTAAAGTGATTTTGGAAGCCGTCCCATGTGGTTATTTTTCACTTTCGTCAGCAGTTATGTCCAAATGATAAGGAACCAGAAACATGCAATTACCATGGTTATCAGTGATGTTTCAGATTACACAGGTTTGAAAAAACATGCAGATAAAACCAAGTAAAATGACAGATGTTAACTTAATGATCATTATTATTATTTTTGTGGGCTTGTATTTCTTGGACCTATTGATCCCTCGAGTTGCTCCTTTCAAACTCTCTTTTTTCCCCCTCAAAGGTAACTTTACTCTCTGCTAATTATGCAGCCATTGATAGGCTGCAATAAGTGCAGTAAATTGAGTTTCAGACTTGTCATTTCTCATTCAAGAAAACTGATTACTGGTGTTGGAGGCCAAAGGCATCCAAGTTGGATATTTTTTTTCTGGTGATGGAATCATGTGGATTTTGATTAAGCTCTGTGCCTTGTCATAAGCTTTGTTGTATGAGAATGCTTAATGTTATATGATTTTTTTCATGTATTTGAAGAATCATATGCAATACTTATATTCGAATGAAAATTTCTGATAGGAGATGAGCTTGGCATTTGGCAAAACGATGAGTTTTTAATTTTGGTCCCCATGGACGTGTAGTAGAACAGAAGAGCGTCTTTGAGCCTTTTTTTCTAAGGTTTCTGTGAAGTTAATACATTGGAACAGCTCATTAGGACAACACAAAGTATGCTTTACAGAACAGAAGTAACTGATGATTTAGGGCATATGCAAAGCTTTGAAGGCTCTCCTTTATCCATGTGCAAGGGCATCCCACATTTTTAAGCCTTACTTTATTTCAACAAGTTGGTCAATCTTAAAAATATATATATATTCAAGGGAATAGTGAGTGTATACCCCATCTTGGAGCCCGGCTATCCACAAAGAGAAACTAAGAAGAAAAACGAGAAGGTGATGGTGGATGGTGGTGGGTGTGGTGCGAGATAAGTTCCATGATGCCTTATGGTCAAGGGTCCTACACAACTTCCCCAACTCAAAACATTGAAATCAAGTGGGTACCCTTTGATTTTTTGATGCCTTATTTGTAGGTATATGACATGTATCAATTAGTTTGTGAAAAAATAAACTCATGGACAAGGACTCAAGTCGCAAATCTCCAAGAAAATATATTGTTGCAAGTGTATGAATTTTTCAGCTTCCTCAAGTTATAGTGCTGATGTATGAATTATTCAACCCTTATTCTTATAAGGCACACATCTTATAAGAAAATATTTCGGATTAAATCAAAAAAAATTATATTAATATTTAAACTTATAAAAAAACTATCGCAAAAATAAATATTTGAATTAGATATCATAATATTTTCTTTTATAAAATAAGTTATTCCACAACTATTTTGTTACATTCGTTCAAAAACAACTTTTAACCAATAATAACATGACATGTGATATGTTTTTTAATTACCTTATAATTTCTTTGAAAAAATATAAAATTAAAATCAATAAAAATTTTACAAACCTTGTTCTTACCATTTATTGTTATCCTTAATATTCTCATCCAACTCATCCCTTACTCGTATAAACTTAGTAATCTCAATGATTAAGGAATTATTGTTATTCGTTGAGATCTTAGGTTCGAACATCGTGTTTATAGAGATATAAACGTTCATTGTAAAATATTTAAAAATATTTATACATATACTACATTATATTATCTCAAATTTATTATTAAAAAAAACCTCATCCCCTACCTGCCGTTAGTTACCCCCATGAAGCATACGAAGGCGGCCACCAAAATCGTAAGGGTAACCACTAAAATAAAACATTAAACACAAAGTTTGACAAAAATATTACATATTTTAAGTGTATATATATATAATTTAATCGCTTATTTTATAATAAAACCTAGAATATTAGCAATTTAGATTAAGAAAGAATGAAAGAAAAGTGTCATGATCCTCCGAGTTTACAAAATGCCCAAAGAAAATCAAAAATTGAGCCACTGGAGAGGGCTGTGTCAGCCTCTTTTGGGAGTGTATATAGTACTTTTTACATAAAAAGATCAAAAGAAGAAAGGTAATTTCCAATCTGCTGATCAAATCATCTTTGATTTTCTTCTAGAAATTTAAAACTGTGAAATGCATCGTCTATGGCAAGCAACAGTCCTCTTCGTCTGCTGCTTAGTTTCCTTTTTCCAGACCATCCCAATATCTTTAGCAATCCTCATGGCGTCGGAGGAAACACCAGACAGCCCTCTCCTCGTGAACCCAATTGCATACACTCCACCATTATTGGACAAGAATTCACCTTCCTGTTCATCATAAATACCACAACATTACTTGTTTTGCATTTCCACAACTAAAACCAGAAACAAAGGACGGAGTCAGATACCAGTTCAAGAGTAGTGTGAACATTTTCTCACCTGCAGCCAAGAACGAACATTGCTGCGGTATCCGGTGGCCAGCACGACGCAATCGATGTCGAGCTTTTCGCCATTGACGAGCTCAACATGTTCATGTGAGAAACGCTTGATTCCAGGAACAACATTAATGTCACCTGATATGATCTTCTGCAATGTACCAATGTCCAGTACAGGCGTTTTCCCTTTAGTGTTCTTGAGTTCTAATGGACCCATGGATGGCCTTTTCAGTCCGTATTTATCAATGTTTCCGAATACCGACCACGCTAAAATCAACAGCAGCTTGTCAACGAGCCAAATGGGTAGCCATTTCAACATCAGATGAGCTAATTCGAACGTCGATTTCCCAAAAAATTCTCTTGGCAATACATGGACCTGTTGAAATGAAAATAGAAAACCTTAGGATCGTATCTCTCTTTAAGCAGTCAGTATATGGTATCGTATGTTTAATGTTTCGATGACTTACCGGGCTGCGAACCACCATTGAAGGCGAAGCATCGTGGTTGCAAAGATCAAGAGAGACTTCCATGCCTGAGTTGCCGCAGCCGACGACGAGCACTTTCTTGCTCTGGAATTTTTCCCCGGACTTGTAATCACAAGCATGGATAATTTCACCGCCAAAATCAGCCAATCCTTCAATATCAGGCACCACAGGCTCCGCATTTTCACCTGTAGCCACCACTAGCCAACGGCATATGTACTCAAACTCGGTCTTGTTCGAGCCACTCGTGACGACGGCCTTGACCCTCCAGAAACCACTGGTGTCGTCGTACCTAGCCGATTGCACGCACTCGTTGAACTTGGGGTTGATATCGAAATGCTTGGCGTACGACTCAAGGTACTCAATGAACTGCCTCTTCGTAGGGTACTCGGGGAAATCCTCAGGGAAAGGCATTTTGGGGAGTTGGCAGAATTGTTTTGGAAGATGAAGCTTTAGCCTATCGTAGGTGCGTTTTTGCCACAACGATGCGATGCATTCGGCTCTTTCGAGGACCACGAAGGGCACACCTTGTTCCCTAAGACAAGCGGCAGTGGCTAGCCCCGATGGTCCGGCACCGACTATGACTGGACCATTGACCAAAGTCCATTTATGTTGAAAGAAACCTTGGTCTTGATCGACAAGGCGAAACAAATTCTCCATTGCAATACAAAGTTATTGAGAAGAGAGAATTCAAATTAGTAGTTTGTTTGAAGGGAAGAAGGGATAGATCGAGTCCTTAAAT